CATTCCTGCCCAACATCTACCTCCTGTGGTTACTGCTCTGGAGGTTCCCTGATTATACCTTTGGCAGCTATTTAGCTGAAATCTATGTAAGCATCTAATGGCTTATTTTTAAATTTAGGGGGAAAAAATAGTTCATGCAAAGAAGGAATTCCTAGAATTGTCCCTAGGCCAATGAAGTGCAGGTCACTTCAGTGTTTCCAGCAAAATCAGAGGACATCTGCACTGTCAGAAGATACCTAATGTAGCTCAGATGAAAACTCTGATGTCACTGAGAATGTGCCTACATTTCTGTTTACAAATACTTCCAATTTTAAATAAAATTCTAAGACAAATTAAAAATCTATGGGTATTCTAATGCCAGATTATTGCTGTTTACACTCTGTGTAACAGGAAAATCTGATCCATCATGCACATTCACCGGAGAAAGAACAGAGTTGCTAGATATTAGTTATCTAGGAACATCAGTAAGGACCCATCAAATGAATTTCACAGTGGCATTACAACCTGATGGCTTTTAACAGACCTACAGAACAGCAATGAATCCTGTAAACAGGACACTGAAATCTACTTCCTAACAATGTAGGGTAAAGATGATTGAAACAATTATAATACATATAGTTAACCTTTCATTCAAAGATGCATGTAAACAGTACTGTCAACTTGCCATGTTCATGAGTAATAGCTTGAGCAACACAGACTAAATACAGTTTGCCTGATTATTATAGTAAGTAGTGATGTATTAAGAACTTGTGCAGTACAAATTACAGTAACTGAAACAAGCCACAAATCATATGCAAGGTGATATTTTACTTACTCTTCCTCTCCCCACCACTTACTCTCTTCATACATTCATATTTCTCCCAGCCCATGGGCATCTTTTCCATCCTGGAAGAGGAGTGCATGTTCCCCAAGGCAACTGACACCTCTTTCAAGAACAAGCTCTATGACCAGCATCTGGGCAAGTCAAACAACTTCCAGAAGCCAAAGCCTGTCAAAGGCAAGGCTGAAGCCCACTTCTCCCTGGTACACTATGCTGGCACGGTGGACTACAACATCTCTGGCTGGCTTGACAAGAACAAGGATCCCTTGAATGAAACTGTTGTGGGACTGTACCAAAAATCATCCTTGAGGTTGCTGTCCTTCCTTTTCTCTAACTATGCTGGTGCAGAAACAAGTAAGTGCTTTTTCAAGGACAATTGATAAGGCAAGAATCAACTCGTCTACTGTTTCTCCTCTCTGTGTATACAGTATACACAGATATCATCCCCTAATGTTACCCTGTTCTTGTGTGCACTCAGATATGCCAAAAGTAAGATACCAACATTCAGAACTGCTGAAAACACAACATTCATATGGTGCAAAGAAGTAAAACTCAGCAAGTCCAAAACAAAGTGACAGGAGGTGTATGTTTCCTGACATACTGTGTTGTGAATCATGTACATACTCATACCCTAGACACGTGACAAATGAATGTGCAAAATGCAAACACTTTGGGGACAGAATTATGTTTCTGGAGGTGAACTGAAAGAACTAAAAGAGGACCATGGAACTATTTAATATCCAGATGAGTAGTACTGGTGTTACAATGGAAAATGAGAGAGACAGAGAATATCATTTAGAAGTCCTCTAAGGTTATCAGAGAGCAGTCCAACCTCTTGCCCTACTTTGTGGCTGAAGCCCATCAAGTTGGAATAAGTTTGCCTTACCAAAAAAGCCCACACAGGTTTCTACAAAAATCCAATTCCTGCCTTGGGTCTGCCATAACTCAGAATAGATCCCTATTCTTCACATGGAACATTGGATTAGCAGATATTTCTAAAGACTTTGCTGCACTGATAAATAAATGTCCACTGTTGGGCCACATTCTTGTGGCCTTTCACCTAATTAAAAAAAAAAAAGTAAAAATGGAGCTATATTTATAAGTAAAAGCAACGTGACTAGTAGCATAGAGTACACTCTTATGAAACTTATGCTAGGCTAGTGTTCCATACCACCAAGACATATACATTATAATGTAACCTAAATCATGCACCTGAGACCAAATATACCATACACTGACGAACAATCAGCCATCAGCAGTTCACTAGAACTGTCATGCAGCTGTGGGTCATTATTTAAAATTTAAAATTAATTATTTCATTGGCCATGACCAAAGAAAGGAAGGTGTGGCCTACATAACATGCTGCTTGTTATAACCATTCTCCTCCTATCTACTTCTTCCAAGGTGACAGTGGTGGTGGCAAGAAAGGTGCTAAGAAGAAGGGGGGCTCTTTCCAGACAGTGTCTGCTGTGTTCAGGGTATGTGAATTTCCTTTTCAATGAGTCACGCTCCCACAAAAATGATCCAAAGGGATGAGAGAATTGGGGTTGTTCCACCTCGGAAAGAGAAGGCTCAAGGGAAACCTTATTTTAGCCTCTCAATATATAAAGATGAACTTATCAGAAAGATGAAGACTTTTTACCAAGGCCTGTAGTGACAGGACAAGAGGCAATGGATTTAAACTGATAGAGGCCAGATTTAAATGAGACATAAGGAAGAAATGTTTTTACAATTAAATTGGTAAGACACTGGAACAAGTGCCCAGAGAAGTTGTGGATGCCCCATCACTGGAAGTGTTCAAGGCCAGATTGGATGGGGTTTGGAGAAACATGATCTAGTGAAAGATGTCCCTGTCCATGGCAGGGGTGTAGTACTCAAAGACCCTTTCCAATCCAAACCATTCTGTGATTCTATAACTCCTTGACATTTGAATAAAATGCAAAAGCTTTGTAGCTCAAAGCTCAAACCCATGTTTTGTTCTATCGCAGGAAAATCTAAACAAGTTGATGACTAACCTGAGAAGTACCCATCCTCACTTTGTGCGTTGCCTGATCCCTAATGAGACCAAGACACCTGGTAGGTCTGTCATTATATACTCTAAAGACATGGGACTGACAGGAATTGGCCGCCTTAGTTTCCACACCAACTCCTTCCAGAACAGGTCCCTTTGCATGTGAAGCTCTTGTGGGAGTGGACCTGTGGGACACTTCCTAAGTAAACCTCTTTGTATTTTTTACCATGACTGTAAATTTTGAGCATTACAATGTCCACAACACTTACCCACCTTTGTTTAATACGTGTACAGAGCCGAAGATGATGAAGATGGGATTGATTGGACCTGATGAAATTGTCTGTTGTGGGTAATAGCATTAGAAATTCCCTAACAAATGCCTAGTTTTAAGGACGACTGTGTTATTCTGAACTGTTGAATTCAGCCCAAGATCACTTAACAATTTCTAAATATTCACTGGTAGGATATGATTCATGGGGCTGAGTATTGTTGAAAAAAACATGTATTGTTTGTAGAATTCCATGTACAAGCTGCTGAATGGTGCTAGGACTTACAAAGCATTTGATTTAAAGTCACTTTTTTTTTCCTTCTATTTGTTTAAATATTAAACTCTCACAAATAGTTTAGTCTCTTTGAACAGTCAAGTTTAGGAGTATTTTCATGTGGCCATTAAATTAAAGTACTTGGGGAGAGACATGCTTCTGTGGGTTTTAGGAGGCTAATCATTATGAGGTCTGATACTGTTAGAATGATAAGGTAGATACCAGTAGAATGTAGTGGATGCAACATGAGTACCAGGAAACAGGTGCTTAGCATCTGTTTAATCTGATCAGTAAACAAAGGACCAATTTCAGCACTTTTCTTACCTTTCTTGTTTGTCTCTCTGCATAACCCTGAAGACCACAAGCAGAATTTAAGCAACACATATATGTATGACATTCACATTTCAGCTATTCGTCTCAACTCCTTTTATATTCAGTGGAGAGAAGCTGGCATTTTAAAATATGACTCATATAGCCCCTTTTATACATTTTAGGCTGAGATGAATCACAACCTAGAAGAAACCATCACTCCACTGACTATAAATGAAGGCCAAATTTAAATGTCCACACTTCATATGTTGAAGTGGAGAAAGAGGAATCCCACTGGGGCTTTGACAGTCAAGGTGTAAAGGGGGAGTTAAGGAAACCTGCTAAAACAGAAAAGCATACCTGAATGAATGAATTTGCCAGATATAGCTGTCATTTTAATGTTCAGTTGGCTGTTTTGACAGAGGTGACTCAGAAGGAATCTTGACATTTTCATTTTAAGAAATGTGTACTGTGTAAGCAAAATTAAGGATGATGAAGAGAAGGAAGAGAAACTGGACATTTTCTGGTTTTTTTAGGTGGTTTCATGCTGTTTATGTTCGACTTTTCTAATAATTCCTTTGGGTACAGCTTTATTGATTGCACTGAAGAGATGAAGTTAAGGGTATGGACCGTTATGCACTAATTAATATCTACCAGCTGATGGAAATTTCTGCACAACAAAGTGATTCCAAGAGGGTTTTATTCTGCCAGTTGTACGTTCTTTGTAATACTTGGGAATGAGACTTAGTAATACATTTAATTATTATAACCAATAGATATTTTAGGAGGAGAAAGAGAATTCTTCAGATATTAATCAACTGCCTGATACAGGCAACTGTCCTCTACAGGCAGGCTGAGAGCTTTAAGTAACCTGCTTATCTACTTCTGTGTTGGAATCTATCTAGTTATCAAATTTAATCAAGTTTGAGTGTAGTCAATACTTGCATTGCAGATCCAAGATAAAATCTTGCGTAATGCAAAGAGTTAACTGTCTAGATGGTACTACACTCTACATTGTGCTGTCTCTACCTACATGCAATGAGGATGCTGATGCTGTTGAAGATTTTTCAGCTATTTTCCTAAAACACTCTCCTGCCATTTTTGAGTAATGTGGCCTTACGCCTTTTGCCCATTGGCAATTCTCAAGCACTGCTAGCCCTAGCATTCTTAGTAAAGCTTAGCTCACTGAAGCACCTCTCTCCAACTTGTATGAATTGAAGGCATGTTCTGTCTTCACTTCTTCCATCTTTAATCAAGAACTGGTTGAATTTTATCAAAAAAAAGGCAAGTCATTCTGGAATGCTAACACATATGGAGATTATCTGGAAGAAAAGGAGAGTCATGATGGATGTATTTTGTTTAAGGTGAAATGGACCATTACTTGGTGATGCATCAGCTGCGGTGCAATGGGGTTCTAGAAGGCATCCGAATTTGCAGGAAGGGGTTTCCAAGCAGAATCCTTTATGCGGACTTTAAGCAACGGTAGGTCTTTAGTCTTGACTGTCTGTTAAGATAAGGCCTCAGCAAACCCACAACTCAGGTGACAAGTCTGATGTCATTATGGAGAGACTCCCTCTGTGTCAGAATAGATTAGTGTCATTGGAGGGAATTAAGTCATTAATTCTGCCTTAGGTCCTACCAGTCTTTTCCCTCTGATCACACCAGAGATTTCTTGATTCATCAGAACTATTACAATTTCTAAACTGCAGTGAATGCCTGATGATTCAGAGAGATGCAAAATGCTTGTAGTGTAATGAATTAAGTGGCATTATAGACTGCTCTTTGTAAGTTTCCCAGAGTATAGATAGAAAAACAACACACGTCAGCACAGCCCCCTTACAGTACACTGACTAAGCATTCAAAGATCCAAGGCTTTTCCAAGTGTTCTGCCACTTGCCTGCATTCTGTGCCTTGTTTTCATCATCTTTAAAACAGAGACAAACTGGTTTGTGTGAGCTCAGTTTCTATAAAGTGCTGAATCAGAACTGTCTGCTGTTATAAATACATGTAACAGTAGCATCTTCCATGATGAATTAGTGTAAAAAGGACCCAAAACCTCTCTGAAAATTCCCTGCAACCTTATGTTCAGTAAGGCATTGGCTTGTCTCAATTGTCAAATCATAATTTGATGTGACAGGTGAAGAAATCTATAATGTCCATGGTCCAGAACCAAAAAGTACTGAAGTTCAGGAGGAACTACAGTGGAAGCCTAAAATAGAGAATAAATTCACTGCATCATTATCAGTGTCTTCATTTAACATGTTCTCTTTCAAGGTATACTCGAGAATAAAAATTGCTCCAGTGCACAATCACACACCCTCACTGAGGTACCTGAAGAAACCCCTTTAGAAGGATTATGCACTCCTAATTACACGGGATTACCTTAATCATCAAGTTACCTTGCAAAATGCTAAGACTGCTGTTAGCATTTACAGAACAATACCATGTTATTTTTAGTTCAATCTCAAGGATTCAGTGGTACAACTTGTAGAGACTGTGAGCTGTGCAAGATCTGTATTCCCTTTAGAATATAGCTGATTTTTGTTAGTAGTTTCAATTCATCTTCAACTTTGAATAGCGTTCATCTGATCAATGAAAAAAGATGAGAGGAGGTTGACATGTTCTCACTATGTTCTGCTCAATTCCTGGACCTGTCGACACTCTTAAGTATACACATTAATCTTGTATGTAACAACATAATGTGTTGTTACACAGCCAACAGATTCCTCCAAAGAATAGTGGTGTCTCCTTTTCATCATCTGTTCAGTCAAGACTATGTAGATTTCAGATGGCATATTCAGCCACTTTTAGATGGTTCCGTTTCCATATAGTTATGATATATGATGGACCCTATTTCCTTATCCTGTTTCCTCAACCAGTCTTTGTGACCTGTCCTACCACAGGTACAAGATTCTTAATGCCTCAGCCATTCCGGAAGGCCAATTCATTGATAGCAAAAAGGCTTCAGAAAAGCTTCTTTCATCCATCGATGTTGACCACAACCAATACAGATTTGGCCACACAAAGGTAAAGCCCTTGTGGAAGAGTGGGTATAATTAATGGCAAAAAAATATTGTTGGTTTGAAGTATTTCTTGCATATGAAAGCAGCTTTCACAAAAATTAGGAACAAAGTACACCACTAGCAGAAAGTAGTACAGAAAGCTTGTCTGGTTCTGGGGGTATGCTACCACACTCTCAGTCCAGGGAACACCACACTTCCAGAATAACCCACTGTGGCTGCAACTAGAACTAGTACTGTCCCATTCTCCTGCCAGTTGAACCCTATATATCAGTGCACATTAGACAGGCTCAAACAAGTTTGGACAGTCAGACTTTTCAGGGTATTTAGGTACACACACAAATATGTTTTCTGTATCCAAAGCAGTGTTAGATGAGACACTGATTCTCTGATCAATACAACCAAGGCAGTACTATCTCTGGACAAAAGCCCAATCGCCTGCACTACTGAACAGACACCATCATCTATGCTTCTCAAACCATCTCTAAGTCAGTTCACAGAGTATAACTTGAGCCTAACATAGAAGGGTAGAATATAGCAGAGACAGAGTAGGTTATAGGACTAAGTTGAAAGTTAACTGTTTTAATAACTACTGATGAACTAGATCTTCCAGAAGCTACTCTGGAGCAGGCATCAAATAACACTTGCAATAGTGTGATTAGATCATACATAGAGTGACTTGTCATTAATTACAGGAACACTGACGACATGAATACTGACACAAACTTTCTCCATCTGTTAAACTTTTACTCTGCAGGCATTTTTGCAAAACTGCCTGGTACTACCCTGCATCAGTTGTCAAGGTTTGTGGATCTGCCTAAGCCTCAAACTATTTGTCCTTCTTTTATGTTCTAGGTGTTCTTCAAGGCAGGTCTCCTGGGACTCCTAGAAGAGATGAGAGATGAGAAGCTTGTGAGCCTCATCACTCATACACAAGCTATGTGCAGAGGGTACCTCATGAGAACTGAATTTAAAAAGATGAATGAAAGGAGGTAATATAAAAAACCACTAACAATCATACTGTGTCAGACCAAAAGCCCAGCAATGCAATATACTGTCTCAGGCAAAAACTATCCTCAGGAAAGACCCTTAGAAAGACTAGTGGAAACAGAGTAAGAACAAACCAATTGTTTCCTTGTTATAGCCTCCCTGATTCTGGCAATGACTATTTAGCAACTGGACCATGCAGCTGGACCATAATATTTAGTATCTAGCAGTGAATCTTTTCTCCAGAAATGCATTTACCATTTTCAATCTTTGAAGAACCCTGAGATGGAGATAGCCAACTGCACAAAGGGCAAGGTTTGTCTTTTGAACATGTCATCTGATAATTTCATTGGATTACATTTTGTAAGGAATTTTATATAATCACTCTCTGTTTTCCTAAGTAATTTGCTTTCATGGCTCCATCAACTAAGATGAACAATTCTAGCTTGTGCAGAGAAGGTAGTCCATGCTTTCAACCATTCCAGATACCCTTCCCATTTCACCTCTCTCCCTTTGAGATGGGATGAATCATGCAAAATTTAGCATGTAGGAGTGACAGTACTGGGGCCCCAAGCAAACTTTCTCAAACATTGTTAAGTGAAAGTTTTAGGGGGAACAAAGATCGCATAAATATGTAAGACACTCTGCCAACCAGCTGCTTTTATCTGTAATACTTTGCAGTATAAATTTAGCTCAGGGGCTTCCTGAGCCAGGGATAGTTTCTAAGAATTAAATAACTCTTAATGGATTCCTCTGCAAGGAACTGTCTAATCTCCCCTTGAACTATGGGCATCAACAACATCCTTCAGCATTCAATACCATAAAATTGTTTCATTTTTGTTTTCAGTGTCTGTCTCAAGAATTTCTAATATGGTATTTTCTATTTTGAGTGACCCATAAAGCAGCAAGCTGCTGTTTCCACAACTGACAGTAACTCCAAGGTTTGTAATCTCAGCAACAGTATAAGGATGTCAATTTTCACTCTGCTATTCACCTGAGCATTTGCACTTTGTTTGAGACTGAAGAAAGTCTCAGAGATTCCCAGACAACATGCCAGAGACGTTTGTCTGTTTTGGAGTATTTCTCCCTCTTATATCCAGACATAGATTGTTCTTGCTACTGAACCATCCATTCTGCAATCAAGGGCCTAGGCCTAGAAATGGCTTTCTAATAAAAACAAGGAAGGTGAGGAAAAAAGTCTCATGCAAAAGTTTGCTGAGGAAAATGCTGCTGCTGTATAGCCAATAATCAGAGTCTGTTTCCAAACCAAGTCTTACCAGCTTCGTAAACTGAGTTTTCATGTGTTTTCAGAGAATCCATTTATATCATCCAATACAACGTTCGTGCATTCATGAATGTCAAGCACTGGCCCTGGATGAAGCTGTACTTCAAGATGAAGCCCCTGCTGAAGAGTGCAGAATCTGAGAAGGAGATAGCCAACATGAAGGAGGAGTTTGAGAAAACAAAGGAAGAACTTACAAAGTCTGAAGTAAAGAGGAAAGACCTAGAGGAGAAAATGGTGATCCTGTTGCAAGAGAAAAATTACTTGCAGCTGCAGGTTCAATCTGTGAGTAACCTCCATTTTCAGATTCACCTCACTTCCTCTTATTCTGCTGTTTTTTCCCTTCTCTTTTCTATTGTCCTTCATAAACAGACGTGTAACAAGGCCAGATTCTCCACTGCTTTGTATCTGATCTTGTCATTTACAACAAGCAAAGTGAGTACAATTTCTATCAACCCTGCTTGAAAGACTCCTCAAGCCCTGTCTTCTCCAAGTTTGTCTTAGACAATGCACACTCACTAGCCATGATTTTCAGTGTTCTATGGGTTTCAGTCAGAATCTGAGAGGGTATGCCACATACCATCTTCTGTTACTGCAGTGATGGCTTTCAGTCATAACTCTTCTGGGAAGCAAAATATACCTTTTCTGCCTAGAATACATAATAGTGGCATCAATTTAAACAAAATTTTATCTGTTAATCATGTGTCTCAAAAAGTTAGTAGAAGTTGCATACTAATATTTAAGTCGATCTTCATGCTTTCTTGGCTGAGAGAGAGATTGGAGAATGACAGTTAGCCTCGTGAATAAAGTAGGAGAAGCACTTTGGGGAAAGTCTGAAGTTAGAGTTAGAGGAGATTATTAAAGAGAGAATCAACCAACAGTCTATGAAATATTACTTTGAAATGCTATGTTTTATAAACCCACACATAATAGTGGCATCAATTTAAACAAAATTTTATCTGTTAATCATGTGTCTCAAAAAGTTAGTAGAAGTTGCATACTAATATTTAAGTCGATCTTCATGCTTTCTTGGCTGAGAGAGAGATTGGAGAATGACAGTTAGCCTCGTGAATAAAGTAGGAGAAGCACTTTGGGGAAAGTCTGAAGTTAGAGTTAGAGGAGATTATTAAAGAGAGAATCAACCAACAGTCTATGAAATATTACTTTGAAATGCTATGTTTTATAAATCCAAATGCTATGTTTTATAAATCTAAGTTCATGCTTCCATGAAATACAGTTTGCTACCCAATTATTTGTGTCATTGATTCATTATCTCATTATGGTGATTTGCATAGAAAATTACTTGTGCAATCAATTTCCTGGAGATGGCGCTTGGACAATATATGCTGCTTTTAGTCATATTTACGATAAATAAATGTGCCTTCAATATGTTCTGACAGGAAAGTGAAAATCTAGCTGATGCTGAAGAGAGATGTGAAAGACTCATCAAAAGCAAAATCCAGCTGGAAGCTAAAATTAAAGAACTAAGTGAAAGAATGGAGGACGAAGAGGAGACGAATGCTGAACTGACAGCGAAAAAGAGGAAACTAGAAGATGAGTGCTCTGAGCTGAAGAAAGATATTGATGATCTTGAACTGACTCTGGCCAAAGTGGAAAAGGAGAAGCATGCAACAGAGAACAAGGTGACTGGAATCAGGGAATTATTCTTTTCCAGAGACTTTTCCATTTTGTGGAAAATTGCAGTCATTACTAAATGCTCTGAATGGAAGTGATATGTGCCCAAAGCACAGGAGAGAGATATTGCAACTTAATCACCTGTGACAGGAAATTTTTTGTTAAACTTTTAACTTCCTCTTACGAGAAGTATATTTTCTGTGACAGTTCTAAAAGAGTTAAGATGTTGCTATGGTGCTTGATAGAGAATTTCCATATATGACTGTTGTAGTTATAAGGACCTAGTGTATTTGTATCTCATATGGATAATGGAGGTCTAATATATTTGTGAGTGGCTCAGTACAGAACAATTATTCTCGTTCTTTCCCACATGCATTGAGAAGAACTGATTTTGCAGATGTCAAATGTTTTCTTCAAATTCTCTTATATTTAAGAAGCCCAGGTCTCAGCTAGTAAGGACATTCTTTCCTTCCATTGACTTGAATGAGAGTTCTTCCTGACTTCTAAGGTTCAGACTGTCAGTGCAGCAAGAAGAGTCTATATCAGGTGGTCATTACCTCATTATCTCCCAGTAAAAGCACAGGTCTCTTCACGTACTTCTCAACAATCAGTGTGAAGAGATAGAATTGAGAATATGTTAGAATTCAAAAGCCTGTATTTGTGGTCACAGTGTTCAGTTATGCTACGGAAACAATATTAAGAGATATGTAATTACAACCCTGAGATGTAACTGCAACACTGAGGTTCCCTTCACTGCCATCACTGAAAACAGTACTGGTTCCTAAGTTTGCAATTACAGATATACTGGACATTTTTATACTAATGCTTAGAGGAAAACTAGCAGGTGCTGGGTATTAGGATGAGGGAGTTTCTTATCATTAATCAGGACTATATAGCTAAAGCAGTTGGCAGAGCAGACTTCCCTTATCCCTACTGTCAGGCTTTCCCATCCAAATGAGACAGATGGAAAGCAAGGTTCATGTAGACTAATACACAGCACCTGATTTTTTTGACATAAGGTTGATGGTATGCAATGCTCCATTGAAGTACAAGGAGTAAATTTCCAAGATAAAGCTAGCAGAGCTGCTACGTCCAGCACTCCAGTTAGAAACTTACGCCCTAAATTCATGATCACCTATTCCAAGGGCATAAGGTTCTTTGTCATGTTATCATGTTTCTTTCACTTTTATGGAAAAAAACATATCTTTGGCTATGCTTGGCACTTGATAATATCTTCTTAAAGAACCTCACTTGCTGAGAATTTCAGCTGTTTGCCTAGCAAATGTATCACATACGAGAAATACATTTTTGGAGCAAGAGCCACACAGAGGTCTTTTCTAAAACTGAGTGGTAAAAGCTTGCAGAGGCAAGTGAGGATCTAGCACATGTTCCACTATAGAATTCAGCCGGATAGGACTGGTAGTCAAAAACAGCTAAAGCAAGAATTCCCACCATTGCAGGAGCAGAGAGGTATAACTGTCAGGCATGACACTGAGTGCTACCCTCATCATGAATGATTTAGACCTATTGAGAGCATTTTGACTGCCTCCATACAAGATTTTGCAAGGGTGCACTCTCTGTGTTCTCAGTCTATCATTTTTCCTAGAATGGATGCTGTATGTCCAACAGGTTAAGAATCTTACAGAAGAGGTGGCAGCTCTGGATGAAAATATTTCTAAACTCACTAAGGAGAAAAAGGCCCTCCAGGAAGCTCATCAGCAGACACTGGAGGATTTGCAAGTTGAGGAAGACAAAGTCAGCACGCTCACCAAAACCAAGACCAAACTGGAGCAGCAAGTAGATGATGTAAGAAAAAGTTTTTGGGATGTGTATATGGATGCTAGGATGGATTAGAAGACACTAGAAATCTGTATTTTGGAGTATAAGCACCTAATGCAGCCAAGCCAGCCCCAATAATTTCAACTAATAAATTATTGACAGTTGACAGGGTATTGTGGAATCCAGTGAGTGCATGTTTCACCTTTCCCTGCCTATTCAAACTATGCTCATCACTGGGGATTTCAGCATTGTAGACTTTGGTGCCCCAGTTTAACCAATTGGTTGGAGCAGTATATCTGTGGTAGTTTGAAGTTTACTATAGAGTTGTTTGTGATTTCTTACTGTCCAATGTGGATATACACCAGGAAGTTATGAATGCAAGGAATTTTTCAATATTTAGCTGCCTATATGTTAGGAACAGCAGCCACTTGAAAATTTTAATTCCTGTATATTTCAAAAACTTGCCAAGCTGTGGATGGTTTAATATCTGAAACCAAATAATAATGGCAGATCTGATCTTGCAGCAAGAGTGGAGATGAGGACTATTTACACAGATATATGAGAAGTATATAGACAGGTGGATATGAGAAGTATATACAGGATCTGATTATTTTCTCTATTCCTCAATTTCCAACTCTAGTTAGATTTTAAAATCAAGAATAGTTATTTTTTAAGTATACTTTATGTGTTTCAAAATATGTTTTATGTGTTTTAGCTTGAGGGATCTCTGGAACAGGAGAAAAAACTGCGAATGGAGCTTGAGAGAGCAAAGAGAAAACTGGAGGGGGATCTGAAAATGTCTCAGGATTCCATCATGGATCTGAAGAATGATAAGGAACAGATGGCTGACAAGCTAAAAAAGTATTGCACTGACTTTCTCTGGTCTAAATTATAAAATTGAGATGGTACCTTAACGATTTTGAATTTGTATTCTTGTTCCTTAACAGAAAGGATTTTGAAATTAGCCAGTTGCAAAGTAAAATTGAAGATGAGCAGGCTCAAAGTTCTCAACTGCAAAAAAAAATTAAAGAGCTTCAGGTAAAATCTAAGACTTATTGATATTTTTAGTAGCCAAGCACAAATTCCTAGACTTAATATTTAGACTTAATATCTATTCTTAGACTGGTCTACAAAAATATTTTCCTACACATGTATAAGACAATTAACATGGACTCTGGTTGCTGTTCTTATCTCAGGGCACTATTACAGAAGCTCTGACCTCTAATCATACATTACTATGTAAGAAATTTCTTAAGTGGAGCTTAGTAGCAGACTTTGAAAATTGATCAGATACTGAGTTTTAACAACAAAACAATAGAATATGATACAATCAGTCATGATCAAGACAGAGATCATCTCCTAAATGCAGAGCCAAGAGGCCAGTCCTCTCCATGCTATTATCCCATTGTTGCTCATCTCAAGGTTCTTTTCATTTTGTTTGTTGGCTGAGAGAGGACACTGCTTTGTTTTGACCTGATCTTTGGGAAACTTCTAAGAAACTCCCATTACTTTACATTTTCCAGTGACACATTTTCTTCAGAAAAGTACAAAATTAGATCCTTCATACCATAATATATCCATTCTGAGCTATAACCAAAAATGAAATATCAGATTTTACATTCACTTTTTTTCCAAAACTGAATATTGCATGTCCCAGAACACAATTCCGTGAAATTTCTACTGGTGTTTCACTCTCTGTGCTGATATAAATGGATGTGAATGTTTGCCTTTTATTCCTCAATGATAATTTTAAATCTGTCTATTCAGGAGGCCTCATTTAACCAATTAACTTTCATAGGCTCGAACAGAGGAACTGGAGGAAGAAATTGAGGCTGAACGTACAATCCATGCAAAAACCGAAAAGCAAAGAGTTGACCTCTTGAGGGAGCTAGAGGAGATCAGCGAGCGCCTGGAAGAAGCAGGAGGGGCTACCGCAGCTCAGATCGATATGAACAAGAAGCGTGAGGCAGAATTTCAGAAGATGCGTCGCGCCCTCGAAGAGGCCACGCTGCAGCACGAAGCCACGAACACGAAGCCTCGGCTGCCGCCCTGCGGAAGAAGCATGCGGACAGCACAGCTGAGCTGGGGGAGCAGATCGACAACCTGCAACGGGTGAAGCAGAAGCTGGAGAAGGAGAAGAGTGAGCTGAAGATGGAGATTGATGACTTGGCCAGTAACATGGAGTCTGTCTCCAAAGCGAAGGTTGCTGCATAGGAAGAAACATTTCTCATCATTACCATTGTTCTTCTGAACAATTAGATGAGCTGAAAGATACACTTTCTATCTCTTAACAGAGTAATCTGGAAAAGATGTGCCGAGTCCTTGAAGACCAGTTCAGTGAAGTCAGAACAAAAGATGATGAACATATGCGACTAATTAATGATCTAAGCACACAGAAAACACGTCTACAGACTGAGAATGGTGTGTCCCTAGATGAACTGTCCTGTTCCAAGTACTTAAATATGCTGTCTGATTGCCTGTGTATTTTGTAATATGTTCATCACTGGGTGATCTGAACAAAACTCAGACTTTAAAATTTCCTCCTGGTGGTAGTCATGGAAAATCCACCCAGGGAAATATGAAACCAAAAGAAGCACTCTCAATCAAAATGAATATGTGAGTGTGTGGTCAGATAATCCCCTGTCCTTTTATGCCAGCACATTTATCTTTGATAGCTTTCTCCTACTGGTGGGAATGAAATTGCTACTCTCCATTCATTTTACCACATTGTATCTTGTAATCTCTTTCAATATGGCTAGCTCTTCTCATTCACATGTTTTATGTCTCATATCTCTATCTAAAAAGAAATAAACATTTTCTTGTTAGGTGAACTTACTCAGCAACTGGAAGAGAAGGAGTCCTTGATTACTCAGTTGACTCAAGGAAAACATGCTTTCACTCAGCAGACTGAAGAGCTGAAGAGGCAACTAGAAGAAGAAAACAAGGTCAGTGGCTTCAATTTGGACCAACAAATTGTGAAATAAATCAAGAAGCCAAAAAAATAAATGAGATTTCTCCTCAGAGAAAGTCGGAGACATCAGAATAGTGAAACTTTGCCTTGGAGTAAAACACACAGAAGAGACATCAGAAATTAAATAAGAAAGACAGTTTAAGACCTTCTTATCATTCTTTCTAAAGTTCAAAATCATAAGAGAAGTAAATGAAAATATCTCTGTGTCCATACCTTACTGCTATAGGAAATCCCTGAGGCAAAGAATACAGCAGCAGCTGGAAAAAAAGAAAGAGAGCAGGAGTGCAGGTGTGCAGGTTAGATATGACAACACAGTGTAAAGTTTCTTCCACCTTCAGATAAAAACCAAATTCTACCTGAAAATATTATGGGGAAACTTCTTGAGAGAGAATTCCCACTGTGACTGGTGCTAGATTTCTTGTGTGCTTGCCTGAATCACTTGGTGTAAATGTGTTTGAAAGGAAGTTTCACAGACAAGATAGACAGGAAGCTGACCTTAACAACATCAAGCCTGAAACACAGTTTCTTATGTTAATCGTTTGCTCCGTGTGTGACTCTAGCAACTGTAGCACATGGGCAGTGAGATGTGGAGTTTTTATCAAAATACAGTAAAAAAAAATCCAGTCACAAATTGTTAATGCTTTGACAATCTGTATAATTTTAACTACCCAGGCCAAGAAGGCCCTGGCCCACGCCTTGCAATCTGCTCGCCACGACTGTGACTTGCTGCGGGAACAATATGAGGAGGAGCAGGAAGCCAAGGGGGAGCTGCAGCGTGCCCTGTCCAAGGCCAACAGTGAAGTGGCCCAGTGGAGAACCAAATACGAGACGGACGCTATTCAGCGCACAGAGGAGCTGGAGGAGGCCAAGTACGTGGATAGATGGTCTGGAATAAGTAGAAGGATATTTAAGTATAAATGTCAGAAGGAACTCTAGGAAACGAGAATATGCTTGTAGTGGGAACATGCAGAGCAGTGTGTTTTGTAACATGTTAGAAGTGAAAAGGGGACTGAGTAGAGATTTAAAGGAGAGGAAGGAATAGAGGTTTGGGAGTGTCTACAGAAAGGAGAATTCAAGTGCATTAAGCATGGAATTAATCATAGCAGTTGAGAAATCACATTCTTTACACTGCCAATATTAAAACTGTGTTTCTGGTTCCTCTTCACATTGGTATAGTCTATCCCTTGGGTAAATATTCTCACAGCCTATAAACCACTCCAGGCATGCTGTGTTATCCCAGGCTCCTATCGATGCTCTCTGTTCACACCAACACACCTTTCTATGTTGCTCTTTCTGTCCATCTCTCCCATGCCAAACTCCCTTCCTGTCCCTCTTATGAGAATGTCAGAATTTTCCTTCTCAGCACTGGTTGTCTCATCCTGCAGAAAGAAGCTTGCCCAACGCCTGCAGGACTCAGAGGAGCAAATTGAGGCTGTCAACTCAAAGTGTGCTTCACTGGAGAAGACAAAACAGAGGCTGCAGGGGGAAGTGGATGACCTCATGATTGACATGGAGAGGTCAAATGCAGCGTGTGCAGCATTTGATAAAAAACAGAAGAATTTTGATAAGGTTCATTCAAAGTGCCTTCCAGATATGAACATCATTACCAATTTGATAAGCCAGGCCAAATTCTGAAATTATGCAAGTTCTGCACTCACAGTAAGATAAATTATACTTTATCCAAAGCAAAGCTATGGTAAGGAGCATGTAACAGGACATACAGTAATGATAATGTCACAATGTGATGTAAGCCCAGATGATCACAGCAAACAATAAAGTAACTTTCTGATAGTTTTAAAAAGCATGAAGTCTTCACAAGGGAGATTGGGAGGATCCATACCTAGTCTTTGATCAAACAGACTGAGCAAGTATTCACATGCAAGCTAACAAGCCCAAAATTTTGCCTGGTGCTAGTCTGCGAGCCTTGTATTTGGGTTAGGCAGAGCCTCAGACTCTTTTACACAGTTCCAGCCTTCACTGCCTTTAATATTTAAAAGAATAAATAGTTTGACCAAGTGATATTGCACAGCCCTGTGCCTTGGCCCAGCCTTGTGTGAGTGAATTGGGTTAATGTGGTAAAAAATATCTCCTCAGAGCTATGGTATCAAAGTCAGAAGACAATCTATAGAGCATAATCTTTCATGGTGGGCTGACTGCAAGAGCTGGTACCTGCAATAATAAAAAGGCTTACACAGACTTATTCACACTAACCACATTGTGTCCAGGCTGGTGTCTAACCAAACTCCTGCTTGAGAGCTTGGGGTATGCACTAGTGCTGGTTGAAGAGGATCATTTAAGTCACTTCCACCCAAACAAACAGAGTATGTATCACACTGAATTAATTTTCACAGGCAGAAAACAGTCCAAAGCAAAAAACTGTAAGACAGGCCATGCCTCTTGGGTTCTTGTCCTGTAAACGTGCAGAGACAGGAGTGTTGCAGAATGGGTCAATTCTTATGCTCTGATAGCTCCTGTCACTTTAGGTCCTGGCTGAATGGAAGCAGAAGTACCAGGAGAGTCAGGCTAAGCTGGAAGCCACCCAGAAGGAGTCTTGGTCTCTTAGCACTGAGGTGTTCCGCATGAAGAATGCCTATGAAGAAATGTTTGACCAGGCTGAGACTGTCAGGCGGGAGAATAAGAACCTCCAGCGTAAGTTCAGATCTCTAACAGCTCCACCATGATCTACCAACAGCTTCATCAGGATCCACCATGAGACCCAAGATGCTTCCATGTTTCTGGGCTACCAGAGTTCTGCCTCTTTCCAGGGTTTTTATGATTTTCCCAAAAGGCTCAGGTTAGGCAACTTTCTTTCCTGTTCAGCTCATCACAAAATCACCTGTAAGCACATGCCTACAGCTCATTACAGCATCCTGTTTCCTCATGGTATTCTCCCTCCTTCACACCATTATAATCCCATTCATGGACAGGGACAAAATTAACTGAAAGAACAGAAATTATAATGAAAACAGATACTCATTTTTTTCAGATTCCTTCAGTCACTGCATTAGAAAAAATCTGGAGGGCTGTTGTTTATCTCCTGATTATTGGAGGGTCATGCAGCTGTGGCGCAATGGATTGTCATATAATAAGCAAACTAACTGTACAAAGGAAACACAGCTCTGTTCCTTTTTGTGACCTGCATGATCCCTGGGGAGTATCTGAGGATAAAGAGAGCAATCAAACAGAACTGTCTCTGGAGATGTAATTTCAATATCCAGAAGAAATTAACATTATGCTCTGAGCTCACTCCAGTGGATCCCACTCATTTTCAAATTGCACACTGAACTGGAAATAGCAGGTAATCAGAAATAAAGATTTCAGATAAGACAAGACCTATGATTTCTCCTCACTGCTGCATGACATTACATCGTTATCTCTTCCATCACTCCCATTGCCAAACAGTAACTGCAGGTGCCATTGACAACATTACCTAAGATGAGTTGAGTGTGTGTTTTCTGTGTTGCAGAGGAAATCTGTGATCTTACTGAACAGATTGCTGAATCTGGAAAAGCTAATCATGGACTGGAGAAAGCAAAGAAGCAAATTGAGCAAGAAAAGTGTGACCTTCAAGCAGCATTAGAAGAAGCAGAGGTAAGTGTTATCAACAAGTTGGCTTGTTTTTAGAGAGATCATGAATGGACAGAATTTGAAGATTATATATTCCTGTTTATCCTGATAATGCCACAAAGGTGCAGTATGAGAGCACAAACAAACCAAAGAACATACGGACTGCTCCTCTCCTGTACCAATGTGGCATTCCTTGCTGTGTTATCACGCACAAAAGTACTCAGTCCCAGACTACAAATGAGATCATTTTGCACAACCTGTTTGAATTTGCTCCTGTGAAATGATGAAGAAAGGTCATTTGTACTTCAAAACCCTGACAATTTTTGTTTTGTACTCAAATTAATTAAGGATGTTTTCAGAGCAGGTCTAATCCATACTTAAAAATCTTCCCAATCTCACTTCCTGTTCAAAGAAAGCTAATTGTTGAAGAGAATTAAGATTTTATTTCTTCAGTTCCTCCACTTCCAATGAATGGGAGTCAGTAAGACATTCAAAGAGGAGTTAGTTCACAGTACATGGGTTCTGGTGAACACAGAGAGGTTGCTGGGGATCAGATGACTCTTGGTGGTGCCACTGATACAGTGACATGTTTTGCTGATACAGACTGCATAGCATGTCCCACTATGCCATGATTTCTCAGTCTTTCTTTATTGTCCTTGGCTATCCCTCAGCTCTTCATAACTTTAAATCTTACTTTTTTCCCAATCCATGACAGATTACAGCTCCTTCATTTCCCTCTTGTCTGAGTTCTGCCTTTTGTTCACTGTCTGCCCTAACTGTCTCTTGGAAAAGTTTTTATTACCTCTGTATGACCATATATGACCATATATAGGAACTCCATGAACTCCTCATGGAGTTCAACAAAGCCAAGTGCAAGGTCCTGCACATGGGTTTGGGCAATCCCAAGCACAAGTATAGGCTGGGCAGAGAACGGAGAGAAAGCAGCCCTGAGGAGAAGGACTTGGAGATACTGGTAGATGAAAAGCTGAACATGAGCTGGCAGTGTGCGCTGGCAGCCCAGAAAGTGAACCATACCCTGGGCTGTATCCAGAGTAGTGTGGCCAGCAGGGCTGGGGGGGTATTCTGCCCCTCTACTCTGCTCTGGTGAGACCCCACCAGTTGTGGAATCCACAACATAAGAAGGTTGTTGACCAGTTGGAGCGAGTCAAGAGGGGGCCACGAAGATAATTAGAGGGCTGGAGCACCTCTCCTATGATGAAAGGCTGAGAGAATTGGGCTTGCTCAGCCTGGAGAAGAGAAGGCTCACAGGAGACCTTATTGCTGCCTTCCAGTACCTGAAGAGGCCTACAAGGAAGCTGGGAGGGGACTTTTTACAAGGGCCTGTAGTGACAGGACAAGGGGTAATGGGTTTAAATTGAAAGCAGGGAGGTTTAGATTAGATATCAGGAAGAAGTTCTTCACAGACAGGGTGGTGAGGCATTGGGACAGGTTGCCCAGAGAAGCTGTGGATGCTCCATCCCGGGATGTCTTCAAGGCCAGGCTGGATGTAGCTTTGAGCAGCCTGGTCTAGTGGAAGGTGTCCCTGCCCATGGCAGGGGGGGTGGGACTAGATGATCTTTAAGGTCCCTTCCAACTCTAACCATTCTATGAGTCTATGATATTTGATTGTCCACAAAATGTCTTTGAGAGAATTTCATGTATTACACCTAGCACACACATATTACAATTTTTTTTGCTGAAATCAGACTGCTCAAAGTCTCATCTAATTTTTCTTTATAATTTCCAGGGACTGAGATTTCATAGTACTGCTGGACAACCTTTTCCAGTGCAGCACCATTCTCATGGGAAAACATTTTTATCCTTATATGCAGTCAGGATTTCTCTTCTATCACCTTTTGACTGTTTTCTTTTGTCTTTTTGCTGTACACCACCAAGAAGAGACTCACCTTATTTTCTCTGTAACTCCCCTTAGGTAGAAAAAGAAATAAAAATCAACTGACATATTTCTAATCTTTAGATCTCACTAGATGAATGGGCAATAGATGCAAGAGTTACAGTGGTCATGCAAATCCATCTACTCTAATTTATACATCTAAATGTCATCAGGCTAATCCTGAATTAGTCACCATAGGCTCACTCTAGAATCAAAAAGGAGAAACAGGCATCTCTGGAGAGTTTATTCTTAAAAGGGCTGCCAAGGTTACATCAACTATTTCATTCTCTGGCTGTGCTTATTTGTGTCCACTGGTTGTTAAGACCCAGCCTCACTCTTCTAAATCCTAGACATCTTAAACTAGATGATATGAGGATCAGTGAGAAAAAGCTGTGTGGAAGTGGAACATTCCCACACAGTCACTGGGGTGGGACTATGGGCAGACCCCCTAAGCAGAATTCAGCATTGAGATGCAAGAGAAGGCAGGCTGCTTCTGAGCATGAGACTTGGCTCTGCTATTTTATGTTTTCATGTGTTTTATTATCTCTGCAGTGTTTTATCTCACATTATCTCATGTGTTTTATTATCTCCCAGACGTTGTGGTACTGGAGGCATATTCCTAAGAAGCTTTATTCTGAAATTACAGATTAACATTCATCTGAGCTATAATGATTATTGTGCATGGAAGTAGAAGTCAGCTTTTTCAGTGCTAGGCCTTTTCTAATGGTCCACAGTAAGGCAAATATAACTTCATTACTATCTGCAAAGTGTCAAAATTCTGCTGGGCATTTCCTGGTAATGGACAGTACAGAGACAAATGGTATTATTTCAACCCTTGCAGGGCTCTTTAGAACATGAAGAAGGAAAGATCTTATGTGTTCAGCTGGAGCTGAACCAGATAAAGTCAGATGTTGATAAACGAAGTGCAGAGAAAGATGAGGAAATTCAACAGCTGAAGAAGAATCACCAGAGGGTCTTAGAGTCTATGCAGACCACGCTGGATGCTGAGACTAGAAGCAGAAATGATGCTTTGAGGCTGAAAAAGAAGATGGAGGGAGATCTGAATGACATGGAAATACAGCTGAGCCATGCCAACAGTCAGGTAGCAGAGACACAGAAGCACCTCAAAGCTGTGCAAGGGCAACTCAAGGTAGGGAACACAAAAGCTATTGCCCTGCAGGTCTTTGCCACTCCCTTGGCTTGTCTCTCAGATTCATGGTGCTTTCACCTTCAAAGGATTCCCAGCTCCATTTGGATGATGCTTTGAGAGAGAATGATGACCTGAAGGAGCAGCTTGCTGTGGTAGAGCGTAGGAACAATCTGATAACAACAGAAATGGAGGAGATGAGAGCTGCTATGGAGCAGACAGAGAGAGCCCGAAAAGTTTCTGAGCAGGAGCTGATAGATGCCAGTGAGCGAGTGCAGCTTCTCCACTCACAGGTATCTGGTATCCCCTTTACAATATACCGATTGAGTGTAATGTGAGTGGCATGGAATGGGCTGGAAATGACGTGTCTTCTGACTGTCCCAACAGAACACAAGCCTCCTCAACACCAAGAGGAGACTGGAAGTGGACATTACTCGTTTACAGAACGAAGTAGAAGACAGCATTCAGGAAGCTAGAAATGCAGAGGAGAAAGCAAAGAAAGCAATTACAGATGTGAGTCCTCGTGCTTGCCTCTCGTTTTATACTACTGCAGTCACTTTTACACATCAGAAAGGCAGAAATCAGGTGGAGGAGAACCAATTCTTCAACATCGGAACAGAAAATATTGGTGACACACAATCCCTCGACATGGACCTCACACAGTCTCTGCCCAGCTGCTTGCCATGGAAGACCCCTTCAGTCTAGGTCTTCTATTCATGTTCTGCTGGCAGACTGTGTTGAAGAGGCATCCTGTCTCCCCTTCCCCATACCCACATTCACTTTTGTTTCCAGAATAAATGTAACAGGATAGAACAGATGGTGGCAAAATTGTAATATGAAAAGAGTAGTCTGAACCAAGTCCTGTTTAGACAGAGCACAGAAAAGCAGAAATTAAAACTAAAATCATACATGCTTCTATAAAAATGCTAGACATGTAAGAAATAAAAATAGAGAATAGAAATGTTTAATTTAAGCAAGGCTCCAGTTTCACTGCATCAGAAGAAACAAACCCTAGATCTAGGAAAGGTGTATGAAAAGGAAACAGAAGATTGTTACACTATTGCATCATGTCGTGGTGCACCTGGGCCTGAAGTGTTGTGTCTCGTTCCAGCTGCCTGCCAGCTCTAGTGCTGCAGGTTCCCCTCTGCCCTGTCACATATGTGACAGCTGTCCATCCCAGGTTCTGAAAATCTCAGCAGGCACAAGCTTTTCATTGTAGTCTGAGATACTTCAGGATCATTTCACTAGCAAAAACTGCTTAGGAGCTTGGTTCTTCAGCAAATTTAGGCATCAAATGGCCAGATACTTAAAATCATTTGGGAGCCCAGAGATGCGGCGTGCTAGCTAGTGATACTTTGAGTTTTCCCTAATTTCAACTGACTCTTAAAGAACGTAACTTCGGTACTGAGTCATTTGAATGCCTTAATTGCTTTCTTCTTGTCATCAACCCTGCCCGTTCTTCAAGACAGAGTAGTTTTAGAAATACAGGTGATCCTCTTTATACAACAGACCCTTAGCACAGCCATGGGCTGAGAATGTGGAGAGTCATACACCAATGTGAAACTGAGCATTGCTCCCAGGGAGAGGACAGAACTACCAGGGATGGGGAATCATATTTGTAACATAACTGTGCTCTACAACCAGGCAGCCATGATGGCAGAAGAGCTGAAGAAGGAGCAGGACACCAGCGCCCACCTGGAGAGGATGAAGAAGAACCTGGACCAGACGGTGAAGGACCTACAGCACCGTCTGGATGAGGCCGAGCAGTTGGCACTGAAGGGTGGAAAGAAGCAACTCCAGAAACTAGAGGCGAGGGTATGGTGAAGACTAGGGTAGGCTAAAGGTCACATTCCTGAGTGGGCCCTTGGTTGCTGGAACCAATTTGGAAGGTTACAACAGGGACAACCCCAAGTATCTCCAGCAGGTTTGATGAGAGTTAGACTGAGGAGTCAAACATTCCACTGTGAGTAAGGAACTTGAGAATGACCTCGGAAAAACAGAGTTGGCAAAATGGTGGCAAATGAACATCAGGGTAAATATATACAGTAACTTAACTAGGGAAAAATAATTTAAAACATACTTACTTGGGGATGGGCTTAAAGTTGGCAATTACAGCTCAGCCAGAAGATCTGAGTCTCATCCATGACAGGCCTCAGAAACTGTTCAATGTGCAGTAGAAGCGAAAACCCAAAAGAAAAAAAATTGATCTTCATTAGGAACAGCACTGAGAACAAGACAGAGAGCATCACTTGCCACTATATTAAATGTACCACATGCAGTCCTGGTCTCTGCAACTCAAGAAGGACCTGACAGAGAAATGTCCAAGGAATGTCAGGTCAGTGGGTGGAGCCCACTGAGACAAACACGGCTGGGACTCTTCCATTCAGAGAAGATATGGCTGAGAGGGATGTGCACAGAATTTACAGAATCATAACAACAGTGGCCAAAATGCATTCTAAATGATGCATTAAAATCCATAGTGTTAGAGGTAAGGATGCATGATGCAGGTCAGGATATCTTCACCTCAAAGTCTGTTTAAAAGAAATAAAGGAAAGTACCTTACAGGCTGGGCAGTGAAATTTTGGAACCTGCTTTCATGGGAAACCGTAGACACAGCTGGTAGAAGGTTCAAAAAGGGCTTAGAAATCAGCAAATTTACAGACATACTTAAGGGAACAAGCATAGATATGCCACTTTACACCTCTAACCTAATGACTGTTGAAGCTGGACCAGTGTGAGGGGAGTAGGTAGCAGCCAGGTTTCCATAGTGTCCCTAAATAGTATATGTTGCTGTGAGTCCCAGAGTCACCAGTGGGCTAGACCGATCATTTGCCTGACCGACTCATTAAACTCATTAACTGTTCCTGTTAGAAAATATACCACAACTGACTGGGAATTAAGTATTCTTGGCTTTGAAAGGAAATATGCACACAGAAATGAAAAACTTGGTGTCCTGGTTTGACTTATATACATTGCAGAAGAGACATGGAGCTATTGGCAGGTTGTTAAGGACTATTAATGAAGATGAACTGGACTCAAAGATTACAAAGGAAAGAGATTGTCCACATTTACCTGATGAACATTGACCAAACCCTCTTTTCTCTAATTCAATTGCCTCCTCTGTAACAGATTTAGACCAAATTTTCATTATAAATGACCCAAGTATGCAGAGCTAAATTTCTTCCATAAATAACTACGGGTTCACATACAATGTCACTACTAAAATATCATGGTGAGCAGTTTTTAGCTAGTCTAACCCCAAGAAGCAGCTGCAGGAAGCTGTCCTGCACTGCTACCTTCTCTGCAGCGTTAGTCCACATAACCCTGGTTCTCAGGATCCTACAGCAGGATCAGCAGCCATTCTTGGCAGCTTGCTGTCTTCATCATGATATTGTGTTTCAGATTAATGAGCTAGAAAATAAGCTTGATGCTGAGCAGAAACGAGGAATAGAGTCACTGAAAGGTGCTCACAAGTATGAACGAAGGCTGAAGGAGCTCACTTACCAGGTATTTCAAGTCCTCTGCCCTCTTGTGTGCATCACCTCGGTCCGTCTTCTGAGTCTGACTTAATTTTTACTTCCCACAGTCTGAAGAGGATAAGAAAAATATTTTCCGACTTCAAGACCTGGTGGACAAGCTGCAGTTAAAAGTGAAAGCATACAAAAAACAGGCTGAGGAATCTGTGAGTACAGGACTCTCAATCTTTGTGGGCGCTGGGTGGAGATTTCCAAAAGATCTGGCCTCCCTGTTTCATTAAAATAATTGAATACTCAGCTTTATAGGGCAGCTATGGACACTGTCTTTGAATATTCCTTACCTCGTAAAGACTTACTGCTTACAACAGAGCAGGCACAGCTGTAATTATCCTGAGCTTGTTGCACTTTTGAAGCCACACCAGATAATTTTCCCAGATGGAACTGAGCAGGACTAATTGTTCTGTCCTCAGCTGAGTGTTCATGTTGTTGACAGTACCAGATAGAAATGCAAGGAGTGCTGGTAATGCAGCAATGTAGCTGTGAGGCTACATCCATAGGGTGTTTGGGTAATGGTAACAAGGTAATGTTAGTTTGTGTCCATGTCACTGATGGCACCACATGATTTTCAGGAAGAACAGGCAAACATTAACCTCTCACGATGCCGCAAGACACAGCACAAGCTGGAAGAGGCTGAAGAACGAGCTGATATTGCTGAATGTCAGTTTAACAAGTTGCGAGCCAAAAGTCTTGATATTGGAGGACAGGTGAGTTGGAGGGCTGCAGAGAAGGACCCTTCCTATGCAGCGTCACAAAGATCTCTGTCCAAACACCTGGTAGTCACAGCTGTATTCCTCCCACTCTTGCACGGGACTGCCCTCATAAAGGAAGGCCAGAAATTGGCACTTACTCAAAATCAGTGCATTTTGAAAGTCCCCTTAGTGTCTCCCAAGAGACAGACCAGATATGATTGCCTCTATTTTAGCAGGATTTGGATATATTGGTTCTTTGTCACTAATAAGGCAAAATATTTGCAATAGTCACAGACCTGAAGCAACCCTACAAATAATTCAATTGTTCCAATAACATCTACATTATCTTCCTTTTTTTGTATTTAGAAATCAAAGGAATGAGGTCCCTGACTAGAGCTGCAGCAGGCTTCTTTACAAGATAGACTTCTGTGCATGCAACAGAGATAGTCACTACTTGCTTCTAGTAAGTAGGTGTGCATGCAACTGATAATATTTAGCCAACCCTAAGTAGAAGTTGTGAGAAATAAAAATAAACCTGGGTGACACTCTGGTGACTGTAAGGACTGACAATTCATTATGGGATTGGTAGCGAGCGTCTGTGAGTGGGTGTAGCAGGTACAGCAGCAGCAGTTCCCAAAGTTCAGGTTATGTCCTACGCAGGTTCAAGGTTAATGGGAACACACTCCTCAGTTGTTCTCCAGGGTTTCCACTTTCATGCTTCAGAGAAGCTAACAGCTGAACAGGAAAATACAGAAAAGGTCTCTCCATAAGGCTGCAACAAAACCTGTGACTTAAACTGCTCCGTTCTTCTGCCTTTGCAGTCCACGGCCACGAGCGCAGGAACGGGTGGGGAGCAGCTGCTTACGCTGTAGGTGTGTGCGTGCTGTGGGATGTGGTGTTTGTGGGAGGGAAAAGGAGCGCATCCACTCACCATGGAGCGAGGGGAATTTGCTCCGTGCGGGGAGGGGGGAGGGAGTAAGGGGAGGAGGAGAAAG